CTCTGAGAAGGATCGGCAATAGATCTCTGACAAAATATCCCAGTCACTCTTATCAAGCTCAAAACACTGAACTGACCATGTAAGGAAAATGATCGTGAGTTAGAAATAAGCTCAAAATAAAAGATAACAACGGAAAGGTCAAAATGACTCATTGGGTTCGGAGTAGGAGGCCAGAACTTTGATATAGGGGACATTGTCACCCTCATACTCCTGCCACTTCCCCCGAACCCAGAACCAAGTCTCCTTCCACCCCTTAATGGAAGTAGGGAGACCCAGTACAAAAGGAGAATGCTCCCCCAGGGGCATAACAAATACCACCACTTTAAATCTCCCTTTCCCAAGGACCTGGGTTGATAAATTGTTTGGAAGATGTGGAGGGGCATGTCATCGCCCAAGGAAATTTCTTTCCATAGAATGTATGAACCCACTAGTTGGGCCCAACCATTATGGGCTAATTGAGTGGGGGCCAGCCCATATAGTCGAAGAACGGCTTGGAAAAAAGGGTGAAGGGGGAGGCGAAGGCCAACTTTTAGAAGATACTCACTGATGGCGATGCACCCCTGTCTAGGGAAGTAGGCTCGCTCACGTGAGAGGGGGAGAGAAGTTCGATGTTGTAAGGGATCCTATATTTTTCTCTAAGATTGGGCAACTGGGTCGGGTCCAAGCTGGAATAGATTTAGGCTGCCCCCAGCCCACACCATCATCACCCTGGACGACATCCCTAGATATAGAGGCACCTCGGCCTACCTCAATAGACCTCCTAAGGTCAGCTGTACTAGTAATTTGAACCCCTATTTCCTTTGCCAACTCGATCAAATCTATATCATCCCCAGAAAGAGCCATAAATGCAAAAAGAAAATACCAAAAGATTAAAGAAATTAGTTACTTACTGGTTAAAGAAGAATTCACAGGAGTACGAATGAAGGAAAAGGAAGAACACTCAGAAGTTTTGAGAAAAGAAAAGCTTAAGAAATCAGAGAACTCAAGAAAAAGGTGCAAAGATTCGTACATAAGGTGGAAAGAAGATCCCTCAAAGGTTTTTCACCTTTTATAAGCAAAACCCATTCAAACCTAGTCGTTGGATCTCGATCTAGGCCATCCAGCCATTGATCAATAGATTTGTAATCCAAGCCATCCAGATCACCTGACGTTTGGCCTACGAAGGTCAAGATCAGAACATGGCTTACATGTACTCTCACGCGTCTAAAATCTTGTTGAAGAACGTGGGAAACAATCATCATTGCGCATTTAATGCGGCGACTCTTGCGTGTGTTGGAAGTTGAAATGACCCCAGCTGTTTTCTTGGGAAGGTACCACGACATCAAATCATTGAAGCTCCATGANCATTGAGGCTCCATGATTAAAATGCCTTGTGAATATCAGATTTATTGGGAAAATAACAAATCCTCGTAACATTCAATTCGAGGCTAATCATAGTTACATGCCTCATTGAAATCCAAATCTATGAATGCACTTTAAAGAAAGAGATCTCGTCAACAAAGCTCTAAGAGAGCACGAAGCTCTAAAAGAGCATCCTACTTTCCAAAGCTCTAAGAGAGCACGTTATTTCTGAAGCTCTAAGAGAGCATATTCTTTCTGAAGCTCTAAGAGAGCACGAAGCTCTAAAGAGAGCATATTCTTCCTAAAGCTTTAAAAGAACATCATATTATCTGAAGCTCTATCTCAATTTTATTTTCAAGTCCATGCATTACATAAATAATCATGCCTAGACTTGGAGGACTATTGTTATCCCCCAATTTCGAGGTCTAAAGAGGCTGGGCCACGTGGCAAAACGGTTAACAAGGAGTCAAGAGGAGGGCCAATAGGTCAGAAGTCTAAGTAAGGAAATGGGCTGAGGTCATTAACCCAGCAATAGATGCTTTCGCATTAGTAAGCCTCGGCCTGAAGCACTTCCTCAAAGAAGAGGCACTACCCAATCCGAAGTTCTTTCAGGTTCGTCCGAAGCTCATGAAATCGACGCTGCCTCACACCAGATTCGAAGATCTTTGTGAATTGATTGATGTGAGGTTTGCAGTAAAATGTCTATAATTTTAATCATTGTTAGCCTATTACTAGAACGGCCAACCTTTAGTTAAAACATTAAATGTAATGAATGGACAGTGATGTGAAGCTTCGGCTTAAGGGATGTCGCCACGTGGACTTGATCCAATGATCACCATGTCGGTTAGAACAGTATAAATAGCCACTCTCTGTATAGAAAAAAGGGACGGTGGATTGATGCAAAGAATATACAAACACATACTCATACAAATACTTGAGACTATTGAAAATAGGAGAACTCATCTACTCATCATATATATCCTTCCACATATTTCATTATCATTTTGTTGAATAGGAGATCAGTCATAATGTGATAGTCCTGAAATATATCGTCGGAACCTTAACATTTTTGTCTCTTGCTGGAAAGTGCCTCCCACGATCACTGCAGTTCGATTTCCGTTCTTATTTCGGTAAAAACATACTGGATCCGTACTTGACGTGGCGGGAGTGGGTCTGACATCTGTTGAGTTCATTTTTTGGCATCAACAACATTGATTGTCTTGTTCATAACCTTTTTCCAATATCATTTCAGGATCGCACGAATACAATTCAAGCGGTTCCTCAAGCAAGATCAGTTGTGAACTTCACATCATGCCACTTGCTATAGTGGTTCTCCTCATGAAATGTGTTGTACCCACATACGTGAAGATAACTGATGAACAAAGAAGAATGTCGAAGGGTGTATGGCCATGTTCACATCACGTCACCTTGCAAGCAAGTAAAAAGTTTATTGAAGTGAGTCGCTGTTGTTGATTTTTATATCTAGCAAGTGTACGGATCGTAATAAGTAATATAGTGGACCAATGAGTCCGAATATCATTTTCACAAGAACTACTATCTAACAATTGGTTAAATTATTCCTAACTTTAATTTGATCGAAAACAAATAATAAGGGTTGTGATTGGTGTATAAATTATTATAACTAAACTAAATTATCTAACGTACACAATTTATCAAATTTGAATTTTAAAAGTATGAATAAGGATGTAAGGACTTACAATTTTAACTATTGATCCCCTTTAATTCGCCAATCAAGATTATTTACTATTTAGTGTTCGGTCAAATTCTTGTAAAGTATTCAATTTATCCATCTTAAGTTCTCATTTAGTCTATTTAACTAATTCAATTACATATCTCTATGTGAATAAATTTTAGTTAAATAAACTATAAATTCTAAGAATTCATATAAGACCGCAATAATTAGAATATGTATCTCTACATGTTATACTAAATTATCGGATTTTAATATGTAATCTAAATCTAATATTCACATCTCGATTTGTAATAGATTCACAAAATCATTGAGTACTTGGCCAAAGAATTCAAAGCATTAAATTCATGAATAAAATCAACACATATGTATTTAAAGAACTAGAATATTGAATAAAAAAAATAAATGGTCACAAATAGATTATACTATTCGCCATAACAATGAATTTAGGTACTCATAATAATAAAAGAAAAACTAAAAGTATAGAGTTCATACTTGGATTTTGAAATCTTGATCATGAAAATAATTGAATCTTACACCAAAAATCTTCTTCAACCGCAAAAGTCTTCAAACCCTAACTTTTTCTCTTTGATCTTGATGATTATGTGTTTTTCTCCCCCAAGTTGTGTGGAACTAGAGTTGTATCTATGTCTTCTTTGAGTCTTGGAAGAGTTTTAGTTGAATTGGACTTTTAAAAAGATGAATTGCACTTGAAAACCCTATTTACCGGTGGGCGGTACCTATTTACGTGATGTACCAGCGCCTATAAATACTAACACCATCCACAAAGAAAAACACACCGAGAAACAAAAACAAAGAACACTATAACACTCGCACTCAAAATTCAACAACATCCTTGTATGATCAAAGACTTCAGAAATAAAGTCAGTACTTTTCACACTTTCTCTTGTTTATAATTTTCGTTTACTTTATTTATTTTCGGGCAAGGCCTAAAAGAGGAAACACCAGGTAAGCAATCAATTTATTCAAAAGCTATATTCTATTTCCATATATTATCCTAATCTTTATGCTCTTAGCCTCTTTATTCTGGATTCCATGGCCAAAAAGATAAAGTAATCATTTGAGTTAAGTTGGCTATTTTACTTATTAAGTAAGTTTGTTAAGACTTTTAAACATGATGAAAATCCTTTTTGGTTACAGTCTGAAGCCATTTTAGAAGGTCAAGAAAAAAGCTAAGAGAGAGTTAAAAAAAAGTATTTGAAGAAATTAATTTGTTGAATGGTAAAGTGCTCTAAGGCTATTACAAACATATTGTTTTTAATTCTCTATATTTTTTGCCNTGTCAAGTCATTCAGTTTAACAAAGCTTCTAAATTTAGATATCATGTCATTCCATCTAATAGAGCTCTGAATCTAGACGGAGCTCTAGATATTTTTTAATTTTTTGTGTATAATGTTAACTTAATCGTGTTTTTGTTAGCTAGCATTGGAAAGAGTTTTTAAACATAGTCTATCTTTGATCATGTGACACAATTTTTAAGCAATTTCAGTTGCTTTAGAGATACTCTTGAATCATCTAGCACTTATACTAAAATCTTTTTGTTCAATCTACACCAAAAGTTATCAAATGGCATAGTTTTGAATGTTTTACAAAATTTGAAACATAACTAATCAAACGTCCTCGATTTGTTCTTTAGTGTTCATCTCTTTCCTCTAAATTCAATTTTTAAATTTTGCATGAAAGTTAAATCAGGTGTACGGAAATTAATAGACTTGACCCTATTTTGTAGAGATTTTTTAAGAATAGATTTCATGGAAAGTGATTTTTTAAAAAAGTTATTTGTTAAAAATAAGTACAAGTTATGGGTTCACACGGAGGTAAATTTAGGGCTTGGCTGGCTTGGGCTATAGCCCAAGACAGTGAGGCCCAATTCTCTTTTTTTTCCTCTTGTGATTTTAGTCCTATGAAATATGACAAGGAGTTGGAGATGATTGAAAGGAAATTGAAAAAGAATAGTGTGGCTCTTGATATTGTTAACTTTGATGAGGAAAATGAGGGAAAGCCCAAGAAGCTTGAGGCACTAGTTGCTGCTGTGAATAATAATGATAGAAGTCGTGTTATGCATATTCATCCTGGTCCAAGTGCTCTTTTTGATGTGCTTATCAGGTTGTAAGGTACTTTTCCGGTATGTATGCTTTTCACTAGAGTATGGTCATATGTCTGTGTTTGAGCCACATTAAAATTTTCATTCTCATTCTTCTACTCATTTTCAACCACACATTTTTCAATAACATAATACATCGATAACTTTTCCTTCTTTTTCAACCACACATTCTCCATCTCTCATCAAACATCCCAAAACTTAGTACTTTACTAGTCCTTGAGCGAGCACGAAAAAATGATAATGCCCTGTTTGGTCCACATTATTTTTTTCATTCTCATTCTTCTACTCATTTTCAACCACACATTTTTCAATAACATAATACATCGATAACTTTTCCTTCTTTTTCAACCACACATTCTCCATCAATCTACTATTCCAAAATAATGTGGCTCAAACACACCCTAGATCTTATTTTGAATGATTACTTATTTTGCATAATTCGGCGTGTTCATTACAAGAATTGCATCCTATGCTTTTTACAGTGGAGCGAACATTGAATAATAAGCAAATAGATGAATTTGAGAACATGCTACGTGTGTTGACTTTAGGAGAAGCCATATTAACGAAACTATGGTTTTTCCTTGGATAATGCTGATACAACTAGAGAGGTAATTGTTTATGCTGATTTTACTGTAATTGATTTTTCGGCTCGTTGAATAAGATCTCGAGCCAAGTAATGCCTTTTAAGCTATCAATTTCATCTGAATTTAAGATTGGCTCTCGAATAACCTGGGCAATGAGGCTCAAATTGTTAATTATGTATTCATGTTCAAGACGATCCATTTGATACCTTATATTTTTTATAGGCAGTAGATGGTGGTGGTGTTGTAGGCAAAAGATGCATTGGAATGGGCTTATAGAGGAGAAAGTGCTGTCAAGTTAATATGGTTCTTGCTCATTCTGGAAAATCTCATGATTGTGTATGTTTTCTTCTCTCTTTTTTTACTCTTACCTTTTATTGAATCAACCATTTTTGCTTTCATTGCCTCTTATCCTGTGAAGTTTAAGACCTCTCTCTTGATATAGTATATACATATTTTCTTTTAACACTTTGATTTTATGAAAGAAACGCCCTTTTAATTATTTATTACCATTGCCTTGATTAGGAAAAATTGATTCACTTCTAAATTTTTATAGAGACTTTTATTTTTTTTTGCTTCTAACAATTAATCATTCAAGTCGTTATAATCGGAATTGCAGAAAATACGACGACTGGAACCGAATATTCAGGTAAGAGGAGTTTGATTTATCGGGATCTACAAACACAAAGAACAGTACATGAGGGTATTTTTACTACTTTCTGTAACCTTATTCAACATTGAAATGAATTTTTTATGTTCTGGAATAATGCAACTTAGTAAGTCTCTTTCAAGAAAAAAAATTTCTTCCCGGTGTAATCATAACGGAGTTTTATTTATCATATACGGCTGGAACTTTCAGATGAACTTCACATGCATTCTTTTGGAGCCTTTAAATGATCAAGCATTTAGTTGTTTGATTCATTCGCTTCGGAGAATTGGATGTATCCACTTGTTAACATTTAATTTGTATCATTCTTCAGTGGCATTTGTCCAGTTCCTAAGAATTGAGAGTTGATAGTTTTTTTGAGTAATGGTACAAAATATAGGTGGGTAGGATATGTTTTTTTCCAACTAGAAAAAACTCACTAGATATGTTTTACATTCTTTTTGAAGGGTTAGGTAGGTGCTTTAGTTGATTTAATACAATTATTCCAATATTTATTGCATACTCAGATCCCGACGTTTATAAACAACCAAGACTAGAGAAGAAGCAGAAATTACAGTGCAAGAATTATCCATTCTATCTTAGCATACATATGTAAGTTCCATTCTAGCTCATTGGTTTTATTTTGTAAATACTGCATGATATTCTTTTACAACTTATTTGCTATGCATTTTCATTTTTCGATGCATACTTTATTATTTCATGAATCAAATATTTCTTACTCATGTAAATCTGCAATCTTTATGGATGTCAAACGTTTCTATTATCATGTATTGCCAGGTTCTACATACATTTGATGTTTTCAATTTTATTTTTGGTGAGTTTCTCTATACAGTAATATCAGTTTTTGAAATAATCACCTTGTTAGATGGAGCATTAGTGAGACAATAATATGCTCCCAAGACTCTTGAATAATCCAATAAATCTTAAACTACTTTTTTTTAATATTACAATTTCTACACTAATAAAAATACAACAAATACAAAATTCGTGCAACGCATTTGTCAATGACTAGTAGTGATAAAAATGGAGAAAATATTTGTAGATATGCTAGTGGAAAATATAAGATAAAAGGAACATATTAGACTAGTTTAGATTATGAAATAATGGCCATCATACATAGTATAGAAAGCTTTAAATTATTTTTAAATACCGAGTCTACAATTAGGATAGATTGTGAAGCTATAGTAAAATTTATTAAAAAAAACAAATTTTGATAAAATAAGACATCAAATATGGTTAAAATTATATAAAGTATTAAACAGCTATAAAATTAATATAGAACACATAGATGGAAATAGTAATATTTTGGCTGATAATTTAAATAGATAAGTTATTAATTTTTTAACCTATTATTTCATGGTGCAGATGAATCAGAAGATGATGAACTTTGAGAATGTCACTCTAAAAGTGGCCCCACAAGGACCTAATTTTCGATTAAGAAGAAATAACTTAGAAAGACTACTAGAAAGGGAGCGTTGTCTACTAAATAATTTCTGGATGTCATGTGAATCTAAACAAAAATTAGACAGCATTAATGCTTTAGTTAATCATTTTAGACAGATTTATAATC